GAAAGCAGGTTGAGCAGGGGCCAGGGGAGCAAGCCAGTAAGTAGCATTCCTCCATGGCCTGTGCTCCAGCTGCTTCCAGGTTCCTGTACTGAGTTCCTACCTTGGGCTCCCTGATGAACTGCGACCTGGGAGATGTAAGCTGAATAAACCCTTTTCTCCCCCCCAGTTGGTATTGGTCAGAGTGTTTTGTCACAGCAATGAAGAACAAACTAGGACACTGTGCCTGGTACCATGCAAGGCACCTTTTACACATCATCTTATTTGAACAGCACCCTAGGGTGGGTGTTGTCCTCTCAGTTTTGCAGATGAGGAAATAGGTTGAGAAAGGCTAAGTGAGCTGCTCTATGGCATTCAACTAGGATGTGGAGTCTGAATTAAAACCAGGTCTGGGGCCCAGTGTGGTGACGCATTCCTTTAATCCCAGCACTTGGGAGGCAGAGGCAGGCGGATCTCTGTCAGATTGAGGCCAGCCTGGTCTACATAGTGGGTGCCAGGCCAGCTGGGGCTACGGGAGACCCTGACTCGAAAAGACCAAAGGAAAACAAAACAGAAACAAACGGGTCTCGAATGCTGCAAGTAAGAGCCAATGAAAATTCTATTTTCCATTTTTCACGTGTGTATATGTGATGTATGTGTGTGTATGTTTTTTTTGCGTATGTGTGGGTGCAAGTGTGTGCAAGTGGAAGCCCCAGGTTAAATTTGGAATCATCCCCTTCCACCTTAATCATTGCGGTCTCTCAGTCAAACTCAGAGCTCACTGATATGGCTAGTCTGGCTAGCTAGATTATTCTGAGGATCCTATCTCTGACTTCCAGGGCTAGAGTTATAAGTGAGCCACCTAAGCTACCTCTTATTTGCATGAGTTTCTGGGATCCCAACTCTGGTCCTTATTCTTGCAAGCCAAGTGCTTTAACTGCTGGACCATCTCTCCAGTCCAGAGGGTTTGTTTTGTTTTGTGTTTGAAACAGAGTCTTACTATGTAGCCCAGCTGACCTGGAATGCTCTGTGTAGATTAGGTTACCCTCAGACTCACAGAGGCCTGCCTGCCCCTGCTTCTGGTGCTGGGATTAAAGGTGTGTACCATTACACCTGGCTAAGATTTGTTTTTAAACCCAGGTCTATGTGTGCAAAATCCACATCTGTGTGGTCCACCATATTGTTCCACTGGCTTTTGTAAGACAAGAAGGAAAAAGAAGGGCTGGGCTGGCATTCTATGTATGCATGAGAGTGGGGGCTTGGTTTCTTTCAGGGTCCCTCAATATTCAGTATGTGAATGACTAACACCATGGTTACTGTTCTTACCTTCAGCCAGGGCCACTTTTTCTATCCCTTCCTACAGTACTGCATGCAGTTCTCAGTATTCTTTGGGTGGAAAGCCAAGGGACCCACTCATTGCTGTAGATGCTATTTTTAGGTTCACTGCTGCAGCAGATTGCTCTGTCCTGCATATGCCTGATTTTATTTGCTATCTTCTTGGTGTAGGTGGAAAGGACTTTGGTTAGGGTGCTGAATTTGAGCTATATTTTGTTTTTACTAGCCATGTAACCTTGACAAAACTATACCACCTCTCTCAGATTTGATTTCCTCATTTATGTAATGAAGGATAGAAATAGCTGCCCTGCACAAAGACAGAAGGTCAGTGATGTAAACTGTTGTTAGGAAGAAGTGATCCCTATTGGAGGAGCAAGGAAAATCCTGATCATGTTGTCAAGCCCATGGGAGAGCTGGATGGAGCCTGCGTGATACTTCACCTGTGCCTCCGTTCCTGACTTTCTTCCTGTGGCTCCTACTCTACCACTGGTATCTTGGCTTCTACACTAAGGATGAAAATATTAATATTACATGAAAACATTTTCTTGACCTTAAGGTTTACTTTTTTTGCATCGTTTCTTTTAAAATCATTTTTCGTGGGCCCCTAAAAATACTGTTGGCACTAGGCACTATGCCTACTGGACCTAATACATAAGTTGCCAGGAATTCAGAGCTCGCTGCCTTTCCAGCTCCTGACACTTTCCTCTACACAATGCTGCCTCCCAGAGCCCAGGAGAGGGCCAAGCTGCTGCCAAGTGCACAGTAAAGAGCAGGAGATGATGTTCCATGGCAAAGGGTACAGACGATGCTCCCTAATCAGCTAGACCTTGTTACTAAATTTAATGAGATCACCTCTTGACAAGATGTCCTTGGGGGTGGGGTCTGTCTCCTGTCTCTGACAAGGTCCATGCATGCCTGTAGCCCTGAACCTTTCTCCCCATTTTACCCCCAACAGAAAACAATTTCCCGTTATTGAAAGCCGATTGCTGTGCTGAGGTCTTTACATGTGCAGTCATTGGGTTATCATATAAGGCAGGCAGTATTATCCCTATTACACAGAGAAGGATAATGAAGGTCAAAAGCTCTTGTTAGTGGTATCTCATGGCCATATACTTCATATACTAGTTTGAAGAGCCCAAGATAACTCCCTTTGTTTCTACTGGAAATCCAGTGCTTCCCCTCTCCCCCACTGGTGTTAGATGGAATTCAGACCTTTGCACATGCTAGACAAATGCTCTGCCACAGAGCTACATCCCCAGTCCTACTCCAGTGTTTTTCTTAAAGAACAGACTGACTAGACCAAGAACAGAGTGTATATGGAGATGGGCTTAGAACTCCTAATCCACACTGTCCACTCCCAGTTTGCAGATGCATCTTTGTGGATCTTTGAATAGCCTGACCAGGGACAGACTGATGGCAGTCACTAGCAGACATAGGATAGGATTGGGTTCAGAAAGTAGAAAAACAGCCTGGCTTCTTGCCTAGAGTCGGGTAAGATCAGTTGAATAAGCCTCATGTTCCTTTCCTTAGACTTGTGTTGCCTTGGACTGCTTAGACTGCTTTGTCCCTCTGTCACATTATAAAAAAGGGTAAGTGCTGCAATCTCTTTGGGTCATCCCTCTTCCTAAATTATGTCCCTCTTCCCCTAAAACAGCACCCTCTCTGGTTGAAAAAGGACATCTCTCCACTGCCCTGTCAGACCTAGTGGGGCACACCTGTAATCCCAGCACCAGGGAGATGGAGGTAGGAGGATAAGGAGTTCAAGGTCAGCCTGGGCCACATAGTCTGTTTCAAAAAAGGAAAAAGAAAAAACCTACTCCCCCACATAGGAAAAAAAGAAAAAAAAAAAACCCCCCCCCCCCCCCCCCCATGTGGCCTTACAGACTTTCAAGACTCTTCCTTCCTCTTGGCTGAAGTATGCAGTGCTAGAATCCAGGTAAGAGGCCTATCTGAAGTCAGAGCCTCTGCCTCGGATTTCCCACATTCTGTATTCCCAATCACCAAGGTTTCTAGATGACATCCGTTGTTTTGCACCTTCTAAAAGAGGGCTCCAGTTTGACCTCAGAACATATTCCATTTAGTCTTTTCTGTACAGTGTAAATTGTGGACCTTGGAGATTCAAGCCTTGATTGAGGTAAACTCTAGTTTTCCACAGACCTTAATTTTTCTTAGAAACGAGAAAACGACAACAAAATTAAGCTCATCTGCTTGTTTCAATGATTAATGGTGGAACACAACGCTGGCACACAGTGGGTATGTAACACCATGTCCACTACGGATCTCTGACAGCTCAAGCCTCCAGGATACCGAGACTGGATGTTGTTCCCACGGTTCCGCATAACTCCTACAAGCATGGAAGGTGGGGGCCCACACACAGACACCTGGAATGCCCAAGTGGCCCGGGCACGAAGGGCCAAGGAGTCTGTACCGCAGCCACCTGCGCCACCAGGGATACAGACGCGCTTCTAGGCGTCCAGGTCAGCGCACACTGTTGGCTCAGGATGGGCGGCGGGAGGCATCTGGGTCGGCGGCTTCTGCCCGGCGGGTAAGCGGGCAAGGAAGGAGTTAAACAGGGCCGGGGGCAGAGCGCCTGTCAGACGCGAGCATGTGCAGTTTGCACCGCATCCGTACTATGGGTGAGTGCCGCTGGGATACAGACGCGCTTCTAGGCGTCCAGGTCAGCGCACACTGTTGGCTCAGGATGGGCGGCGGGAGGCATCTGGGTCGGCGGCTTCTGCCCGGCGGGTAAGCGGGCAAGGAAGGAGTTAAACAGGGCCGGGGGCAGAGCGCCTGTCAGACGCGAGCATGTGCAGTTTGCACCGCATCCGTACTATGGGTGAGTGCCGCTGGCGCCGCCGCCGCCGCCGCCGCCTGGGGCTCGGTTCCGCCAGGCAGCG